TCCTGGACCACGGCGTGGGATGCAGCTTGCGCCACTGAGCGCCGCGGACAGGCCTCAAGGACGGCGGAGGAGGCGGGAAGGAGGATTGGGTGGGGATGGTGGGGGCCTGCGCCTGTGAGCGGGATGGCGGAGAAGGCGGGGAAGGAGGACTGGGTGGGGACGCCAGCTCGTGCGCGCTCACTGCTAAGTGGGACCAAGGGCGGACACGAGCGGACGACAACGGTCGAGCAGAGCGTCTGCTTCTGTCCACTTCATACCCATTTCTTTTTAGATTTGAGCCAAGTTTGGGTTGGGACGGACAACACGCGGACACAGACGTCCGTTTGGATCGCCCCATTGGGTCAAGTTTTGTGTTCGAATAATTCAAACGGATAAAATGGGTCACCCCATTAGAGTTGCTCTTAGAGGCCCTGGGCCGCTCGAGCTTGACTGAACTAAGGTAGCTGTACCTCTCCATCTGCCCACGTCTGCAACTCTGCATGCATGTTGATTACACACGGTCGATCGATCCTATGTTTTGCATCGTACTCGTAGCTACTTTCAGCTAAGATGGATGCTTCCCCTAAACAAGAACTAAGATGAATTATGCAGACATGAACTTCTTCTTACTCCCTCCGATCATTTTTACACCGCGTACTAGATTTCAGTCTTTGAAGTTAGATCACGTTTATACAAGAAACTATTAACATTCATAATACAAAATTAATATCCTGGGATCCATCATAGAATATATATGTCCATATTTATATTTATTTGGTATACTAAGGGTTCGTTCAGACTCCCTCCGCTCCGCGGCTCCGCGTCGGAGCGAAGTGGCGATCCAAGTTATAAATCGGGGAGTTGGTAAAAGGCGCTCCGTCCGCTCCGTGGAGAGGCTCCGAACAGGCGCTAAATGCACGTGAACCGATTAGTTCTCACAGTGCAGCGCCTAATGTCAGTGTCAGTATGTAGATGCTTTGCTGTTTGATTAAACCGACTGATCGAGCACTGTGTTCATGAATCCTAAGTGATGTATCTGAATTTTCTGAACATACGATCATATTATATGGTGATATGGTTATTTCGTGAAATATTACACGTATGTACCTCACCAAGTCACGGCCTCCAACACCGAGTCACTGCCGTCCTGTAACCGTCTCCCCCCTTCTTCAGCGCGGGCAACCCACCCCCGCACTCAGAGCATCTCTAGCAGACTCCGCTTCCCGCCCTGACCCGCAAAATAATCACTAAAATATTGGTTGGTGCGGAAAAACCTGCCCGATCAGACACGTATACGCGCCTGACCCGTAATTTTTTTTTTGCCGGGCGCGGCAAACGATCTCCCCCGACCTCTAGATTCACAGGGTAGGAATGTGACCCGAGCTCGGCCCCTATCCGCAGCGAGATTTGGCGGGAGGGACATTTCCGCGTGGCCGTTCCCGCACCCCCCACCCTCCGCGACCATTGCCCCGCCACCTCATGCTCCGGTGCATCTTCCCCGGTCGTCCTTTGCTGCCATGGATGACTCCCTGCTGTCCCCCGTCCTTGTCGAGGTCGCGCACGCTCAATTCCCTCGGGCGGATCTCGTCGCCAGCCATGTTGGCCCCGCCGTCGCTCAAGGCAGCACTGCGCCTGCCCGCAAGCGGCAGGGCAACGTGGTCGTGCAGGGCGGGAATCCGGTTGCCCCCGCCGCGAAGGCCCGCGCTCCGGGCGCCAACGCCGCTGCGCGATCCCGGCCGGTGGCGGAGAAGGTCGGCAAGGTCTCCGGCGTAAAGCGGAAGAAGATTCCGGCTACAAAGAAGTCAGCTCCTTCATCCACTCCGTCCGCCCCGGAAAGAGGTTCCTCGGCGATGCCGCTTAACGGTGTTGCTCCCACCGCAAGCGAGGTGTTTGACGAAAAGGCCGGAAGGTATGCGTCCTCGGGCATGGCAATTTCCTTTGCTTTTCGCCATTTGCGATAGCTCGTGACTTGTTGTCGTTCACTATAGCGGTGGTTCGAACAATGCAACTGTCGAGTTCGTGAACTTGTTGGACACCAACGCCGTTGACATCGATCAAGCCCCGTTCGCCGCATTCGATTACAATGAAACGGAGGGTGGCGTGGATGACCATGGTGGTGAGAAAGAAGTGGAGGAGATCGATGAGTGGGTGTATGAGCAATCGCAAACAAAAACAGGGAAAAGCCAGAGATCGAAGAACTACACGATCTTGGAAGATCAAATCTTGATCAAGGCATGGAGTGCGGTGTCTCTTGATGAATGCACGGGTACTTCTCAAACCGCCAAGAGGTATTGACAAAGGATCAAAGATCAATACTTTCGCATGATGGCAAAGCATCCCAATAGGACTCCACGCACCTTTCGGTCGCTTCAAGAGCGTTGGGATGTGATCAAGCCTATTTGCAGCCATTGGGCAGCTTGCTTGGAGCAAGTACGCAATGCACCTTCAACTGGAACCGTGGAATCCGACTATGTGAGTTCGTTTTGACTTTGTTCAAGTTGTGCACATCATATTGCATCATATGAAATGATTGCATCATTTGAATTTGTTCAAATTGTGTAGGACAAAATTGCCCAACATAGATACAAAGACATGGAAGCGTCGGAAGGCAAATTCTTCAAACTAGAGCATTGTTGGGACTTGCTCAAAGAGTGTGAGAAGTGAAAGTTGATCGACAAAGAATCCCCACCGAAGAGAGGTTCACTTACAAACATGGATGAAGATGAGGATGATGATGGCCCAAGAAATTTGAACAAGCCCGATGGCGACAAGAAGACTAAGGAGAAGATGAAGAGAGAGCACGAAGTATCGAGCTTGAGGGATAAGATTGATATCATGGTGCAATCAAATGAGTTGATGTTGTTGAAGTCGTTGGAGATCAAGAAAGAGTTGGCCGAGAAAAAGGCAAGGAAGAAGCAAGAAAAATGGTAATTGCTCAAGGAAGAGGGGCTGAGGAAAGTAGCCATCAAGGAGAGAAGAGCACGTGCCGCTGGAAACAAAGCCATGTCCAAGTTGCTCGCCGAAGAGAACAAGATCATGACGATGAACCGCAATGACATGGATGACCTCACCAAAGAATGACATGATATGGCAAGAAGAGAAATCCTGAAGAGGAGAATGGTCGCGTCAGCCAGTGCGTGTTACAGAGCCGGAGATGTTTTCTCTGCTCCATATGGTACCAATGTTGATGGTTTCGGTGCGGGAGTTGGAACAAGCACCGTAGGTGGATTCGGTGGTTCCGATAAACTCTATGGACTCGATGGCGCGGAGTGAAGATAGACCAAGATGATACTGGACATGGTCGTCACTTTTGCAAGACCCTCTTTTGCATTTCTCCTACAAAACTTAAGCTTTTATTTGTGCGTGAACTGTGTTCTATTGTTTGAATTTGAACTTATTTGTCGCAACCGATGTCAAATTCGATAATTGGGCATCTTCGGTTTGTGGGTCGACGCGGCGGTGCCCGAGCAGACCCCGCATAGCTGACCCGTAAAAGAGGATATTCGCCGAATATCCTCTTTTACGGGTCCATTTTACGGGGTCTGAGTCTAACCTCACCAGCGCCGGCCTACATATACACTTTTTCACGAACTGCAAAAGACTTTTGCGGGGTCTGTTAGAGATGCTCTCACATCCACAACATTTAATATCCTCTTTTACGGGTCCATTTTACGGGGTCTGAGTCTAACCTCACCAGCGCCGGCCTACATATACACTTTTTCACGAACTGCAAAAGACTTTTGCGGGGTCTGTTAGAGATGCTCTCACATCCACAACATTTAACTCTTCACCTCACAAGCCGTCGGTTTTCTTTCACTATGAAATTGGCTAATGTCTAATTTTGTTTCATGCAACTAATCGATAGCAAACGCAACCATGTGTAGGGCTAAGCTAGGGGTGACACGTAATACCCGCCATCCTTTCCACGTCAACTGCTTATGGTCATCTTGTGGCTGAAATTAAGAAGTTGATGAGAGAGAGGGTGTTTATTCCCTCAAAATTAATTAGGGATCAAAATAGAGTTGCCGATGACTTGGCAAATTATAGTCGTATAGAATATACCACAGCTGTGTGGATGTACCTTGAACCATCATGTATTGAGAATCTTTTGACACTCGACTGTAACTCTCTGAATATGGAATAAAACTCTGTTTTCCGTCGCAGAAAAAAAACTTGTACTCCATTAAAAGAAAAAAAAACTTGTACTCCATAAGAGCCCGGGCTTGCGTATGGCTGCCTGAGGCAATTTGATGGCGACAAAGTAAATTTGAACAGTGCAATGCTATAATTTTGCTACTCACTCCATTAACAAATACTCACTCTGTTTTAAGATAAGTGTTACTGATATAGTATAAAGTTGTACTAAGTCAAGTAGAGTATATTTTTAAAGGGTGTGGCTAGGTCTCGGTCAAGTGGCATAGCATATAAAAAGGAAGAAAAAGTTTAAAAGAGAACTTTTACGGATCTCCGTGCAAGTTCTTCTACTATAACATCGACTAAGACTTGATTAAGTCTCAGTCGACTGATTTAACATTCCTGATTTTTAAAACTCAATTGATTTTCTCAGTCGTTGGACAAATAATTAGCTCGTTGCCGGCCAAGTTAATAATTAGGTGATACATGCGATATGACCCAGGCCGGACAAACGAAGAACAGAATAATGTCAAACAGCAGTAGTACTTACGTACTCCCACATGGGAGTAACAACAATCTAATCATTCACGCAGATACAGTACGGCCAGAACGATCGGCATCAATTATTAGGGCCTCCATGGTTATACTGCACGTGACGCACGTACACCACACACATCAACACAAGCAACGTACTCAATGATACAACACACACGCGCGCACGCAGGCGGCCGAGGCGGGGAGCACACGTACGAGACCCTACTGCTGCTACAGCGCGCGTGGGTGGTAGATAGTAGTAGATGGGCACGGACCGACGGACACACACACACATTGGGTGCATGCATCATGATAGGTCGGTACGAAGCCAGCATGCGTACGGCCAAACGTGGCTACGCGACGGCGGCCGGGACGAAGGGGGTGGCGAGGAGCATCAGCGGGGTGCGGCGGCGCACGCCGAGGCCGGGGGCCTCCTCCATGTCGACCTCGGCCACGCCCTCCGGCAGCGACCAGTCGAAGTGGTAGAGGAGGCCGACGAGGGCGAGCTCCATGCTGGCCAGCCCGTAGTTGAAGCCCGGGCACATCCTGCGCCCGGCGCCGAACGGGAGGAACTCGTAGCTGCTGCCGGTGAAGTCCACGGCGCCGTCCTCGAACCGCTCCGGCCGGAACTCCTCGGCAGCCTCCCAGTACTTGGGGTCCCGCCCGATGGCCCACGCGTTGATGACCACGCGCGACTTGGCCGGGACGGTGTACCCTTCCATGTCGCACTGGTCGATGCTCTCCCGGGGCACCAGCAGCGGCGCCGGCGGGTGCAACCGGAGCGCCTCCTTGATCACCAGCTTCAGGTACTGCAGGTTGCTCGCCTGCAGGTCGGCCTCCGTCACGGCCGCCTTCCCCTTGAACGCCTCCCGGATCTGGGCCTGCAGCTTCTTCATAACCCGCGGGTTGCGCATCAGCTCCGACATCCCCCACTCCATCGCCGACGCCGACGTGCCCGTGCCGCCCGCGAACATGTCGAGGATGATGGCCTTCATCCTGCTGTCGTCCAGGTGGAACCCGAAGCCGCCCTTCTCCTGCAGCCCGATGAGCACGTCCACCAGGTTCTCGTCCACGTTCTCGGTGGCGCCGTTCTTGATCTTCTCGGCGCGGGCGGCCTTCCTCTCGGCGATGATCTCCTCCAGGATGGCGTCCACCGTGGTGTAGATGCCCTGGAGGCTGCGCTTCATGCCGGTGATGGTGGCGAGCATGGTGGTCCACGTCGGGAAGAGGTCGGGGATGTTGAAGCCGCTCGCCAGGCCCACGCCGGACTTGATGGCGGCCATGAACTCGGCCGCGTTCTTCCGCTTCTTCCCGAACGCCGCCCGCGCCACGATGCTGTTGGTGACGCTGTGGAACATGACGCTCAGGTTCACCGGCGTCGACGGCCCAGCCACGCGGATCTGCTCCACCCGCATCATCACCTGCATGTGTGCATGCATGCATCCGTCAACACGAATCGAGCAGACGAAGCAAACACTGTCCATTCATAAGTCTCATCTTGATCGAAATAATTTAGCACAGACTAACACATGTCTAAGTACTTGTGGTGCCAGTATTTAATTTTTTCCACGTGACGCGGTTCTGTGTTACGTAACTTTTCGGCCGTGCTGCTAGGTGTAGCTGTGAACCACTATACTTGACTGCTTGTAAGTTCAATTATTACTCTGGCCTGGCGTCTTTTGTTGCCACGTTCAGATAGTTAATTAACTATTACCTCGTCCTCCCTGATGTGGCGGAAGGAGAGCACGCGCTTGGGGCTGAGGATCTCGGCGGCGCAGAGCTGGCGGAGCTTGCGCCAGTAGTCGCCGGAGGGGGAGAAGAGGATGTCGGCCCACTCGTAGCCGACGATCTCGCCGGCGAGGAGCTTGGGGCGGGTGGCGAAGTTGGTGTCGTGGGTCTTGAGCACCAGCCGCGCCGTCTCCTTGGACGACACCACCAGCAGCGGCGTCTGGCCGAGCTGCAGCATCATGAGCGGGCCGTGCGCGTCCGCCAGGTCCCGCAGCTTGCGGTGCGGCAGCACGTTCAGCAGGTGGTGCATGCTGCCGATCACCGGCAGCTTCCACGGCCCCGGCGGCGCCCTCTCCCGCACCGGGTTCAGGTACACCTTCAGCACCTGCAGCAGGGCCACCGCCACGGCCGCCAGCACCAGCGACTGGACGTAGAGCTCGTCCATGCCTGCGTTACCAAAGCTCGTTGAGCTCACTCACTAGCTCTCCAGCTGCTAGCTAGCTAGGGCTTATCACCAATGATAAGGATGCACTGGTAGAAGCAGTGCTGGTGGTGATTGGTGGTGACTGGTGTGAGTTGCTCTGCAGCTGCTGGGAGCGGGTATATATAGCTAGCAATCCTTGAGGTGTAGGAGTAGGGGCAAGTGGGCGATGTGGGGGGCGAGTTGGCCCGCGTCACGATGGTGACGCAGCCCATGATGCGGGGCCATTAGTTTAGAGCAACATGTTAACTTGGCAACACTGTGTGATGGTTAGTGCAACGTTGTCTTCTCTAAGCTCAACAGTAGTATAGTGTTACTGTAAGTAAGGTCCAATAGACTTATAGACTACCGTCACTACTGTAGTCCGATGGTCCAACCCCAATCTATACTATATGTGGAGTATATGTGCATACGCATGCATCCATATAGTTCCATACTGCAAGTGGAAATGTATAAGCATATAAATTTGAAGACTTTGCATTCTTCGAAAGAATGTGTAAGCATCTTGGAAGTGCATGGGACAAACGTACCAGCTATACAAGAAGGAGCAACATAAACAATTTCCATCATTCTTGACTTACATAATAATCATGCATCATAAGTCATGTTAAAGATGAGCCAATGATGTATAGTAAACCGTAAAACCATGTTATTAGATGATTCTAATGTTGCGCTCTCTACTTCCGTTTGAACCTTGAACCGTTGATGTTGTCGGATGTTGGTGGAGTATTTGACAAAAACTACCACATTAGGGGTTGCCGTCCCATAGAACTACCACATTCAAAAAAGTCTCTGATAACTACCAAATTTTTTTAATTTTGTGACTAAAAACTACCACTTTTGAAAAATGGCCAGTTTAGATGATTTAAACACGTTTATGACACGCGGGACCCACCTGTCAGGCTGACGTGGCGGCCAAGTCAACTCCGTTTATTTTGACCGTTAAGCTGACCGTTATGACAGGTGGGGCCCACACGTCGGTCTCTTCAAAAAAATAAAAACAACTAGGTCCCTATAACTTTTAAAAAAGCAATCAGATCCTTGCAAATTTTATAAAAAAGCAATCATGTCCTTTTCAATTTTTTAGAAAAAGCAATTGGGTCCCTGCCGACGAGCTCGTCGCCGGAGCCGGCTGGCATTGGTCTGGCGAGCTTGAGGGTGTGCCAGCTCCTGCGTGCAGAGCGGCCGAGCTCCAAGTGGTGCATAGCCCCGTTCTGGAGGTGTTGCACGCGACGCGGCAGGGTTGGAGGGTTGCCGCAACCACGGCGGGCAACGCCATGCCCATCCAGCTCCTTCCCGCTACTGCTTGCCACTGCTGCTCCTTCCTGCTGGTTGCTGCTGCTGCTCCTTCTCGCTGCTTGCCACCGCCGCTGCTGCTCCTTTCCCGATGCTGCTGCTTGCGGCTGCTCCTCCTTGCCGGCAAGCAACAATATTTAGAAATTTTTGGTAGTTATCAGTCACTTTTTTGAATGTGGTAGTTCTGTGGGACGACAACCTTTAATGTGGTAGTTTTTTGTCAAATACTCATGTTGGTGCTTTATAATATAAAGTGGGGGAATCCTTTTTCGTTTATGCATGCCCCTAAAAAGCTGCCAACACAATATTTACACTTGCAGTTTTTCCTTCGAGAACACCTCAGAAAATTTATAGTAATTGATACAAAAAAAAGAGATGAGAAACATGCGTGTTTGCAACAGAAATCTACTTTCTCCATTCCATAATATAAGATGTTTTTGCAAGCTATGTTAGCTTGCTAAAACGTCTTTATATTATGGGACGGAGGGAATAAATTATCAGCAGTTCACCCAATGAAATATGCATTTCCATCGACCATCGATCAAATACAGAAGATTAAGAGAGTCTTATGTAACTATTTGATGTTGGCTACGAAGCTTCCAATTTGCACATACATGAATCATATATGTCTCAAGTGGCAACCATGGGCGGCAAAAGGAACTAGCTAGCACACTTTGATTGGCTTCGCCTCATGGAGAGCAGCATCCAACTTGGAGCCTAGCTCCACGGAACCCATCCTTCAGGGAGGAAGGAATCAACGGACCCCCAAACTACAAATCCAGAGAAGACGCAAGAACGGCCACAAAAATGGCACAAGGCCCATGACAACCTAGTAATAGATAAGAGATAAATGATACTATAGCTCATCATCTAGCTCGCTTGGCTAGCTAGAAATCAGGGTGTAGATGATGTCTAGTTCGGCCATCTTCCTGATCCTGTGTATGATCGAGCTAGCTTTTCGTAGGTGACGAACTGACAATCTAAACTCTGTGATATTACTAATGAATGAATTCAAAAACAAATGGAAATAGAAAATGGCAACCCACACGGATAATTTTTTAGAAGAACACCGCATCCCCGACACGCGTATACCACTGCCTGCCATTGGCGCGACCAGCTGAGGCCTGCGCCAGGATTTGGTTCTGATACTCCCATGTCACCGCATGTGCTAAGTGCAGCTGCCTGCAAAGCATTAGTTGCACAGACACTACACACAATGGAGGTACTATGCACCGAGATCGCTGCCGTGGTAAGTACCACGTGTACGCACATGTGTTCACTCGTGACATTTAATCCGGTAGATAATTAAGGAGATACGAGACATACCGCCGAGAACTTAGTAGCGTGGCATCAAGAGTTCTCGTCCCTAATGGCTTTGCGTCACCATCGTGACGTGGGCTGAACCTGTCCCTGATTAAAATCTAGAAAAAATCATATTGTTTGGGAACCCATCGAATACGTGGCAGATTAAGTCAAAAGTGACACAACACTAAGGCCTCATCTGTTTCATATGACAGAAACATCACAAAGATTGGAAAATTATAGTAAGCGAGATCGCATGTATTTCAAATCATATGAATGGGATAAAAAACGAGATCGATGTCATTTGGTTCCGAGGATAGGATTTTTTACCTTTGAATTGAGCTAACGTTTCTTTTCCTTTGGAATATGGATGACATAAATCACTCCCAGGAATAGGATTATGTTCAAGCAAATCAAAGTCTCTAAAGATATTTTTTCTTTCAAAAAGCATATCCTATATAATTACTACAAGTTTCCTATAAACCAAAAGAACCCTAAGAAAGACCCTAAAAGGAATAAAAATACTGGAGGAAGTAATTCTCACAATCTCGGTAAAATACTTACTCGTAACTTTTTTCTACAAATCACACAACATTTGTACTCCAAATCCTAACTACTCCCTCCGTTCATATTAGTTGTCGCTGATTTAGTACAACTTCATACTGAATCAATGACAACTAATATGGAGCAAAGGAAGTACCAAATATGGTTATGAACTTATGATCACTGATTTAAAAATGTGAACCCCTTTCACGCTCAACAACTTCAAATTTATGCTCATGTTTGATCTGAGCTTTTTTTTCAAAACGAAGGCAGAATATTTGCCTTATCCAATAATTAAGCATAAGAAAATTGTCCAGATAATTAATGGAAAACCGAGCGAAAACTATAACAAACCGGTGAGCGGTACACACAGATATCCCACACACACCTTTGCGAAGAGTGCCTCATCGAGCTAGCACACGGGCGTCATCGTCATCAGTTCTCCCCAAATAGGCGTCATCGCAATTCCTAATCCCCGAACAAGCAGCTCCGACTTCACTGTGGACGAACGTCGACCCAACCCTCACCGCAAAGGCTGTGTAGAAACACATGAAGATCTATGTCAGAATTCAGCCACCCACATGAGGGCAGCACAACTACAACTCTGAAGCAGAGATCCAAAGGAGAACTAAGCAAGACTGGCGCCGGCTTTTACTACCAAACAAATGAAACAGCTCTCGATTAAGAACGCCACAGTAGAAAAACAACCATTTGCTGCAAAATTGCCAAATTTACTATCTTTTCTGTGGAGGTTTATATCACATGAGGTATACCTTTTTTTGTTTTTTTATAAAACCTTTGGGATAGCTTGTTTCCTTTTCCGGGCAGCACGTACGCCCAACTCGCATCGAATACGCGGGCTCCAAACTCCTACCATCCGCACGTATCTTATCCTCCCCCGTAGCTTTTGTGTTTAACCAGTTTTTTTTTCTATTTTTGAGTAGATTGTGCTAAACCGGTTTATCTACCGAGGTCTACCTCGCATTGAGAAAAAGATAGCGTGTGCCTGTGTCAGTGTGTGAGAATAAGAGAGAGATGACTCAGTTTTTTGACATGGTAAAAAACATGCTATAACTGAGTCCACGAGTAAATGTGAGTGGGAAAATCGCTTTCACTTCACGTAGTCTCCGGACACAGCCGGCATTCACGGGTAGAGCGCCCGTGTCCGAAAGCGACCGCCGTTGTCTTGCCCAGCGGGTAACCGCCAATTAGCACGGCCCCGGACCCATCAACGGGAAGCCAGGAAGTGCTACAAATATTATACGAAAATGACGACTCACGCGGATTTTTCTGTGAAAACAACATCGCATCGGACAGTAACCATGCATATACACTGACCCTACTGACAGTAACGACTGTCGACCCCGGCGGTTGTCCTGGCATGCGTATACGTGCACCACAGCCTGATCTTGGCGAAACCGGCAGGGGCCTGCGCCAGGATTTGATTCCGATACTCCCATCTCTAGACATGCACGACACGACATGTAGTAAGTGTACAGCTGGTTGCAACGCATTATTCGCGCGGATACATGCAACGGAGGCTATCCATGCATGGTGACCACCGTCCTAGTACGCGCGCACATGTGCTCTCACTCGTGAAATACATTGTGTTTAATCCGATAGTAATATAGTACTACTATTGAGGTGATACGGTACCTTCTGCAAGAGCTTATAATATCGGATTTGCATCAAGACCCCAATGACTTGCATCACCATCGTCAAGTGGCCCAAACCCTGCCGTGCAAAGTTTTTTTATTTTTCGGGAAAATCTCCGATCTATTCTCTTTCAATCATAACAGTATAACGAACACTAAAATAATAAA